GGCTAAATTAGGTTACACCGTGGGTTTATTTTTTCTTTCGCCTCTGTCGCCATGGATACTGAACTGAACTGACGGCAACAATTCCTATTCTTTTTTTTGCTTCAAGTTATTTTGAGTAGGAAAATGTCCCGTAATTTAAAATGTTAGGTTACACATACACGCCTCAAACTTTGAAAGGATGGATGTCTTTCGCAATAAGAGTGAATTTTACGGAAAAAACGGTAAAAATAATTTCTTAGAAATTTCAGAAATAATGTGAGACAAAATTTGGGGGGTAAAAACCCAATGAAATTTGCTTCTTCAAAATTTTATTGATTAAATCGGGATACATTTTTTGGTAAATTTCGAACCCGATTTTCCATTATTTGTAAAGTTTGTGAAGTATTTAATTAAAAGATCGATATACGTAGTCGAGGGTTTTGTTATACTTTTGAATTTATTCACTTTACGAAAAAAGTTATTCCGAAAAGGGAATTGTCCTGTAATTTAAGTGCTTAAACTTTTCAAAAATTATTATTTTTTATTAAAATATGACAAATTTTGAACAAAAAACGGTCAAATTAATATTTTTTAAATTTATTGTTTTTGGTTAATTTCAAACCCGATTTTTCATGATTTATAAAGTTTGCAAAGTAACTAAACAAAAGATCGGTTATATTTTTGTTGGTTATAAATCTTTCGAAAATCGTGTTTTAACTAGAAGAATAAAAACGGGTTCAATTCTTAGAGAATAAATAATGTATAATTCATTTCTTACAAATTTCATGTTTTCTGCTAAATTTCGAACCCAATTTTTCATAATGTGTAAAGTTAACGATCTCAATAAACTTGTAGATTTTGAAGAAGTCGTCTTATAAATTTTTGATTTAATTATTTTTACCACTCTAAAAATGGTAAACCTCCCGCACAGTTTTGTAATTTTGCAAACCTATTTATAAACAAGTCATTTTAACTTTTAACTTTCCGAGAGTTTCCCATCTTCAAAATTCCCAGATTTAAGCAGAAATCAATTGACTTGTTATCAAACATTTCACCAAGTTTGGTAAATGTTTTAACCTTACAGAACCAGTACAATTCATGAAATTAATTTCTCCTCGAATTTCATCAAGCTTATGTACAAATATGACGAATAAATTTAATTCCTGAAATAATTTTTCATCTAATTTCTTCAAATTTCATCAAATCGCGACAAATTTCTCATCTACGACTAACAAATATAATTACTAAAACCACTTTCTGACCAAATCTCGTCAAATTTCTTTTAAATTTCCTCTTCAAATTTTGAAAAAAACTTTACCAAAATTATCACCCTGAAATAACAAATTGAACAATTTCATGCCACGTTATTTCCATCCTCCTCCTCCTTTACAAAAATTCGTTACCACCGCGGTAACAAAGCCAGTGTCAAACCTCGGTAACAATTAACAAAATTATCACCCTCAAATAACAAATTGAACAATTTCATGGTACGTCATTTTCCTCTTCCTCCTCCTTTACCAAATCGTTACCCACGCGGTAACGAACCCGTCTAACAGTGTCAAACCGCGGTAACAATTAATTACTTTGATACCACATCTTTATCCAAAAAAAATTACGACACGATACGATCTTATCAGTCCCACTTCCTCGTCCGCTCCTGTTCTGTTGTCTACTGCTTGACAAAAAGATAAACACTTTTATCCCCAAAGTAAATGTCCAATTGTCACCTCTTTTTCTTGGACGCGGGCACAATCTCAATTTCCAATCTGAATAAATAAACGTAAAAGTTGGACACCTTCCAACTCGCGACACGACACAAGATTGTCTCGTCAAGTGTCACACGGAATGACGATGACATCTTTTTCCACATATTTATAAAAGTTGCTCCTGCCACGGAGGAATATCTATCTACTTTTTTTAAGAAGAAAAATCCTACACAAAATTTTGGCATGGAGGACACGCTTAAAAATTTAGGGGGAAATTTTTTCATAAAGTATGTTCAGAATTTTTAAATCATTTCATTTGCAACGTGGAAATTAGCTTTTTTTAAATTGATAAGCTTAAATTGTTTGGAAAAAATTAGGGGTTTTAATTTGTTACATTATAGCACCAATTTGTTTTCTTTCAAAAATTAATATTCTAATAATTGTTAACGTTAGATCGCAATTGCTGGTCATATTTTACAAAATTTATAATTTGAAAACTAAATTTATCATCAATTTGATCTTGTTTTACCTTAGATTCGTAACATATTTAAATTTAGCGCTAAATCCAAAATCCAACCTACACAATTCCAAAATTCTAATTCTTTACACATCATTCCAAATTTTTCTACTATTGAAATTACCCCGAATTTGTAACATATTTAAATTTTCCGCTAATTCCAAAATTTCTTTTAACCGTGTCATCTTCCCCCTCAAATATTCCACATTTTTCTACCAACCAAACTACCCAAAATTACCAACTTTTCTCTCTCATTGCTATCCCATCCCCGTCACGATTACATCAATCATCAGAATCATACGACACATCTCTTCACCGTTTGATTTATCATCTCTCTTCTCTTCTCAACTTGTTCTTCTCTTCTTGGAATGAAGAAAACGTCTCAATTTATTTGCAAGTTTGGGAGGAAGGAATTTGACAAGCGGGCGAGAATGACAGCTCAACTTTTGCTCTCGGATTTCTTACGTTACGAGAAGAAGAAGGAAAGATAATGGAATTGTCATACTTTGAGAGACAAGCGGACATGGGATGAGTTATTTATTGGCCAGAAAACAAACCAACCTCAAAAAGTTTGCCTTATGTAGCCAGCCAGCCTCACTCACAGCTTGTCCGTCCCACTAATCGTAAGAAGAACTCAGCTAGTGTCATTTAATAGTTGGCTTGCTGGGAGGGAGAAAAAGGCAGAATGGAGTGAAACAAAATGGAGAAGGGGAAGAGAGATTTCAGGAAATGAATACTGCGAATTTTCGGAAAAATACGGTTCAGAAATATTTAGACAAAGTTTAGTTCAGAAACTTAAGGAAAAAAACTTAAACAGTAATTATTAAAATGTCTCCAATTATTTTTGAGTACGACAAATTTGTGAAGTTTTTGGAATCAAAGTCCAAAATTTACTAAAATTTTTGCAAGAAATTTTTTCAATTGTGTTACATTTTACAAATTTTTGTACACAGTTTTTTTTAGTAAGAGTTTGACGACTTATTCGTATTTTATGTGTAAAATGGTAAAGTGAGATTATGAACAGATGCAGAATTAGCTTGGTCCACGAGATATTTATGATTTCTTGACGAATGTTATGAAATTGTGGTGAAATTTATCCAAAACGGTAAAAATATGGTAATAAATATTTCTCAAAATATTATCGTGTCTCGAAATTATTTGCTATTTTGCTAATTAAAGTTAACCATGAAATTTTGAATATCTCGGTTTTGTAAATTTTATTTTAAATGATGGTTGACAATTTAGAGTAGTTTGTGTATATTTGTGTTGGAAATTTATCACAGCCATGGATGAATCTTCGTTTAAAATTTTCATGAGCCAGGACAAAAATATTGCAATATATATATCAAAATTTAGAAATTGTTTTTTTTTAATATTATGCAAAATATGCCAAAATTGCTACTCCGATGTAGTAAGAAATTTAGCAGAAATTTTGGCAAACAAATTTTTTACTGATTTTTTAATATTCTAAAATCCACAAATTCTGAAATTCAACCAATAAACGTTAAACTGTTTCAATTTTTCTTTATCTAAATCCGTCCTTTCACTTTTCCTCCAAACTTCTCAATTTCTTGACAAAATAAACATTCTTCTAAATTTCCCAAATTCGGGAAAAAACGCACTTTCTCCGAATCTTTTCAATTTTCATGGTTCCTAAATTGGCGCAAGTTCCCAAATTTACAAAATAGTGCTTTAATTCTTTATTAAGATTAAAAAATCATTTTCTCCAAATATTCTACCAAAATTGATACAATTTTCCAAGTTTCCCATAATTTTGTAAAAATGTAAAAAATCATTGTCACAATTTTTACAAAAATAAAAAATCACTTTCTCCAAATCTTCCCTAAAAATTATGTAATTTCCCAAATTTCTCAAAATTATAAATTCAAATCCTCAAAATTCTACAAAAATACTCCTTCCCATTTCTTCCTCCCAAATAAACCGCACCACTTTCTCAAAATCTCTGTCCTTTCTTAAAAATTGCATCAATTTCCGTATCAAATCTTTCCCCAAAATCTCACCCCTCAATCTTCCACTGCAACTCTAACTCCACTTTTTTCTCGAAATCTTGGTCAAATTGGGTTTGACGGGTGCGATTAATTTTCACCAGAAATGTATGTGATTCAATCCCTGACAGCATTATCACTCAAGAACCACCACCACCTTCACCTTCCTCCTCACCTTATCTCACTTTTTTTTTACCTGCACAACTTCCACTTTGACTTACTCAACATCATTTTTTCCTCTTTTCTACCAGATTTACTTACTAAACTTCTGGACACACAACAAAAAACCAGAAAAAACTGACCCTGATTCTTGACACGTGATTGATTTCGTTACTCACACACACAACTTTCCCTGATGTGAATTAATCAATTTCTTCTTTTTTAAGGAAGAAATTTCTTATTTACATAAATTTCTGAACGTATTTCCTTATTTTTTGAGGCAATATTTTTCAAATTAGTGAGATTTGCTTTAAATTTCTGACTATATTTCCGTATTTTTTGTACCAAATTATTTACTGGAATTTCATCTGAGGCAATTCACGCAGGCCTTTGTAACGTTGTAAAATCCATAAACTTACAAACTTTTACAAAATTTTACACATATTTCTGAGGAAAATTGGCTTCCAAATTTTGATAAACTTGCTCCGATCAAGAGCGTTTCTTTATTATGTAAAAGTTTCTAAAATCATGCTACAAAATGTACCAATTTTACAAAGTTACCAAGGCCCACGTGAATCACCTCATCATTTTTACACCATTTTTTTTACCCCAAAATTCCTAAAATTTCCTTACCTTAATTTTACAACGGTAGAAAATATCACAATAACGATTTGGTTCCGTACGTCGCTTACTTTTATTTTTACTAAATTCGTCTCCTCTTCTCTCTTCTAAATCCGACGCAGTCTTTTATTTATATTTACAAAAAAGTAGTAGTATTTTATTTTATGTTCCCGTGGTTTACAGAAATTTTTCGAAATATTTATTTTTAATTACAAGGCTGACTACTTTTTTGTTATATTTATTAAAAATTTCTCCGTTTTTTCTTTCTTTCTTCTACCAAAAAATAATTCGAATAAGAGGAAAACACGAACGCACGACTAGATATATTTTTTTCTTATTTTTTCCAAAACAAGAATTGAGACCCTGTTGAATTCTATGATTTTTACGTTAATTTCTATAAATTTCCTACACTTTCTGTTTTCAAAAATAGAAATATTTATATCCTAAAGGTTGAAAATAGACGCTCTCTACTTCTACTTTCACCACTATATATTTCCGAAAAGGCACAATCACACGGTTTAAAAAAAATGTCAACTTCAAAAATTTCCTCGGAAACTTTCACTTTCTGAGAAGGATACAAATCCAGTTTAAACTTCTCCCCTCACTCACTTTTCACCACCAACGGAGCGAGAAATCCGCCTTAAATTGCCAGTCAAAACTACGTCGATTTATCCATAATCCATGCAAAATTTCAATTTCATTTCACCCACTTTTCCGTTCCCCTTCAAAGTTTAGTTTTATGGTTTCCATGACGACGATAAGAATTTTTGGTGGTGGTGGCGTCATCTTCGCCACGGTATTTCGCGACGCCAGGAATAATTTCGCCACATATTTTGGATTTTGTGAGGTTTTTAAAAATGTGATGTCAGGTTTTTAGGCTATTCTTTTTTTATGCCAGAGTGGGGACGGAGCCGGGTGGACTTGTCGCTTAATACTAACATCTCGCCACGAATGGGATCCCCTCTTTAAGCGAAAAGGACGAAAATTCTCGGCCTGCACTCTAATTCAATCCCGATTCTGTGCTCAGCAAACAACTTCTCTCGAGTTGGTTTGAGTCTGCCTGGCAGAGAGAGGAAAATTTCTAGTTGAGAAGTGAAACAGACTAAAAGCGAAGTAAGGCAGGGAGTAAGCAAGGCTAAAAAAATGGGAATGATTCACCAAATGGTGAGGAGCCTTCTGGTGTGCTACTGCTGCTGCGGGTGCTGCTTCTTCTTCCGGTTATGTAAGAGAGAGGTTTTTGTGTGTATGTGGGTTGGATTTTTTTTAAAGGTTGGAAGAGGAGAATTTTGAATGTGAGAATTTTTCAAAATTTTATTTAGGATTTTAGTTTGGGAAAATTGATTTTTGAAAAAAACAGAGGGGAAATGGGTAGATAAAGAGACGAATTTCTGGTTATGCTTGAAGTTCTTTTAAAGATTGTAAGAGAATTTGAGAAGATTCGAGATGTCAGAATTTTTCAAAATTTTATGTACAATTTAGTTTCTCAAAATTAATTTAAGGGAAAAAGCTTGGAGGAAAATGGTTCCTTTAAGAGTGAAAGGTATTGTAAAAATTTAAATGTTAAAATTTCTCAAATTATATTTTGCAGATGTAAGTAGCTTCAGAAGTTTTATAAATATAATCAAAGTGGGAAAATGACGCATTAAGAAAAATTCAGAGGTGAAACGCCAATAACAAAATTTGTTAGAAAAATTATTTGATAATAATTACGTAGGTGTCTCTTTTCTTGGTAACAATATAATGTCAAATCCGTAAATTCCGGGAACTTACAAGCAAAATTTTAGAAATATTTCGAACGAAAATTAGTTCCCAAATTTTCGTAAACTTACACGGATCTCTTCATTCTATAAAACTTTGTAAAATTATTTTACAAATCTTACCGAGTTTTAGAAAGTTGCCAAAGGACTGCGTGAATTGCTTCAATATTTACCAATACAGAATCACCCTGCATAAAGGATTTCATCCGATTTTCTCCTAAATTTCGAGCTTCATGTCCCTTATCGAAATTAAAACGGCGACATCCAAAATCTTGTCCAAAATCTGGCCCACTCTTTACGCAGGCCCCCCTCTTTCCAAATTTTTTTATGAAAAGGGTTACGAAATGGAAGGGGAGAGACGTACATATAGAAAAGCGCAGCATGAGACGAGAGATCACTTTTTGAGCCTGTCATACATACGCTCAATTCACTCATAATCTCGTCAAGTCGAGGAAAAATTCCGTGTCTCCTCCTTTACTCGACCCCCAGCTGTCATCCTATCCCTGTCCTCTCCGTCTCCCCATAAAAATGGTGACAGAAGAGAGACAATCACTCTTTTTTGATGGAACAAACAGCCATTCGCATTACGTAATGTATTTGAGTGAATGGCACACTCTTAATAATTTTTTGGTTGCGGAGTTACCAAGCTTGGTAAATTTCGTGGTAAATTTGTGTTACCAGCTACCAAATTTTGATAACCAAAATCGACTTATTTAGATCCTCCCACAAAACGGTGACAAATTATTTTTTTAAGTCTAACCGTCATTCACAATACGTTACGTATTTAACTAAAATTTGGTATATCAGTACTTAAGTAGCTACTAAGTTTGGTAAATTTTATGGTAAATTTCGTGGTAAATTTGTATTACCAATATAAGCCAGCTACCATATTCGACTAATTTTTTGGTCCTATCCCCATCAAAGTGGTGACAGCACACAGAGCAAAAAAATATTACGTAATGTATACACTCTTATATTAAATTTTTGTTAAATTGGCAAACTTGGTAACTGAATATATTATTTAGTTACCAAGTTTGCCAATCTGAGCGTATAAAGGACATGTTATGCAGTAAACGGTAACCTACACATGTAAGATGTTAAAGTTCATTCGAACATGCGACAGTTTCACCTCATAATGCTGGCATCCTCGAATAAATAATTTCAAATATTCATTTTTGACATTAAAATTACGAAAAATCAAAATTTTTAACAATTTTAGATAATAGTTTTTACCAAGTTAAGAAAAAAAACTTTAGTAAAACTATAACTTTTCAGAAAACCATTGGGATTTCTAGTTAAAAAACCGAGATTTCCGTTTCAAAATCGGAATTCAAATAATTTAATTACTCCGATTCCAAAAACCACTTGGATTTCCTAACATCCTGAATTCAACAAGTCCAAGTCACACTTTTTAACCTTACGAATTGTCATTTTCTCTCTCAATCTGCTCAAATCTCGGTGAAAAAAAACCGGTTTTTCCCCAAAATGAAGACATCACCAGCTCAGAGCTTGATAATTATTTACAGGAAGCTGCTTAAACTTGCTCATCCGACGTCCTCGGAAAGGCAGATAAAATAAATAAATCTCAAATTACATGCGGCCAGTTGCATCTCTATCTCTCCTCCAGACGAGTAGATCACGTTACGTGAACAACCACAATTAATTAAGGGAACCAGCATAAGACACGTGGTCCCCATTTTTACCGGCTTTTCGCGGTTAAAAAATTTATCATCTACATATTTTTTCAAAATTTGTAAGCCTTCAAGAAATTTACCGAACTAATTTTCATCAAATTTCGACGCTTATTTTCTCCATTCGAAAATTAATGCCATGAATTTTTACCGAATTTTGAACCTTATTCCACTCCTAAAAACTAAATTGTGTTTTTTAAAATTTTTGAGCCTTGTTTCTCCATGAAGAAATTTTTCGAACTAATTTTTACCAAATTTTGACGCTTATTTTCCCACAAAAAAGAAATTACCACAATTCTCCTCGAATTTTGAGCCACTTTCGCCCTCAGAAAATTAACTACACGAATTTTCACGGAATTTTCAACCTTATTTCACCCTTAAAAATTAATCACCTGTTTTTTTCAATTTTTTAAGCCGTATTTCTCTTTCAAGAAATTTATCAAATAATTTTCACCGAATTTTGATTTGTATTCTCCCTTCAAAAATAAATTACCCGAATTTTCACTGAATTTTAAGCCATTTCCCCCTCAGAAAATCAATCATACGAATTTTCCCAGAATTGTCAGCCCCACTCAAAATCCATCACATTCTTCCTGTACAATCCCCACAAATTCAATTGCCAAATCCAGCTTTAAACCTTAACAAGAACGACATCCGGACCAAACTTCCGGTCCATTTTACATCTCAATCTGACCACTAATCAGCTGAATATGTTGATTATTAATTTAATGGCCACTCATCTCGGCGACAAAACGGATGTCATCTTATCTCACTCGCTACTTAACCAGCCAGCCAGCCACGCAGTCAATTCTAATCCGCTAATCAGATCTGATTACTTTAATTAATCCAGACTTGTGTACATAAGTTAAGCAGCTTAATTTGGCTAAAATGATGACTTCATTTAAACAGCGCGTTAACTTTATGACAGATTTTTTTACAATTGAAATTCATGACGTTTTTTTAACCAATTGTTTTTTGGATAAGGGAATTTTTACACATTTTCATAGAATGCGGGACCAAATTTGTAAATTTTGTAATATTTTGCTTAGTTTGAAGCCAATTTGGAAAAATGGACAAAATTATTATTACTAAAAGGGGGTAAAAGATCGCTTAAAAGCCATACGGTATTTTATTTATTTATTTCGTTTTTACGTATAACACGTTAAATACGAGCTTTATAACTTTGTAAACCTTGTAAATTACGTAAACTTTGAGTTTATTAGCCTCTTGCTTTCTTAAATTCATTAAAAACCTTTCAAAAAATTCAAAAAAAATTTGCACTAAAGTTTTTCCATTTTCAACATAGTCAACTCAAAATTTTACACAGTTTACAAAATTCCCATCCTTCAAAACAATGTTATTTAAAAATCTTGAGCCTATTCCCGAATTTTTTGTAAATTTATTTTATAGAGTTTACATATTTGCCGTGAATCATTCAACCAAAGTGAAAAAAACTCTTCGCCTAACTTTTTTTAGTTTCCTAAACCAAAACTAGCCTGGTAATAAAGTAAGCTAGTTGTGAGGCTGTTAAAAAATGGGTGTCTGCATTTAGGTGAATTTCTACATTTCAGCGAAACGCAGTCAAGCATCCCACTTTCGATTAGTGTTTGCTCCCATGCGGAATTAATTCGAGTTGGATCCCGTCTCTTTCCCCTGGAAATTTATGTTACTTCTCAACCACTCACCAACTCGGGGGGCCCTGCGAGAAGGACAGGCCACAAAAATTATACAATTTTTGGTAAAAATTTGGTAAAAGTTTGTAGCTGCAAAAAAATCAGGTAACAATTTTAAGACACTACCCAAAAAATTGGGAATTTTTGGTAAAAATTTGGTACCTTAAAAAAATCAGGTAGAATTTTCCCCAGAATTAATTTTCCCGGTGAATCAATTTCTATCAATACTTTAGAATTTGGCGGGATTTTTGAGTCGTTACGAACATCTGGAATAATTAAGCACAATATTTCCTAAAATTTATTGGCTTTCTTAGGGTAACTAATTTTTATATTAGAAAAATCGAAAAAATTTCTGATATTCTTCTAGTAAATTCTACTCGCATGAAATTTATTTGAATTTCCCGCTAAATTAAGTATCTTTACCATACGGTAACAAATCGTTAGATTAGAAAAAACCTCATACCAAATTCAAATTTGCCTCCATATTCCTTACGAACTAAATTCCTATCAGGTACGAAACTTGACAAAAATTTTTGAAATTGAATTTTCCAGAAATCCAATTCCCGCCAAAAATTCCTATCAAACTTCCCACTACATCATTCCTGCACGTCTCAATAAATTCCGTTCACTGAATGAATTTCAATTTTGAAACAATGCGCGTACACAACAATGCCGAATTCGTCTATGCATGCATCGGGTTCGTGACGGTGCATCGAAATATTCAAAACTTGTCCCCCATCCATTCTCCCTTATTTGCATACTTTGTTGTCTCTTCACTCTTCTCCCCGATACCCGGGTAGCATAACACCCGGGTATCGGGAGGAGAGGAGGAGCATTATTATAATGAGGCACACATTCCGCAATAACTCACCCACGCCGGATCGAAGACAAACTGATAATTGAAAATTGAAATCTGTGAAATAATAAATGACTTCCCTTCAAACGACCGAGAAATCTCACATGAATTCATCACCCATACGGAAATAATACCCGGGCATAATTTATATAACACCGAAAATCCCGCATGAATTCCGTGGTC